GGATAATGAACGTGCTCTTTGTTAGTGATTAAATATCAATGCCAAGCATTGCGGCGAAGAGGTAAAGTATCAACAATAATGCAAAGTAGTGTTTTTGCTGGATATTTTCCTCATCAAAGTACAAAATCAGCCCTGATTTTTTCCTGTTTGAAAGTCTTGAGTGTATCAAATGCTTTCTTAGTTTGGAAAGCTCAATCTGTACAACCCAGGAGGTGGCAAATGTTCCTGAACTGTCTTCTTCCAGAGTGGGGGGCGGCGGGGGGGGGGGGTGGGGGGGAAAGTATTTTGAAGTCTGATGCAAAGTAAATCCTGGCTCTTCTAGACAGTTTAGAGATACTATCATTGAATTTGAAATGTAAGCCCTCCGAAATTTTTTTTTTAATTTTTAAAGGAGAGAGAGAGAGAGAGAGAAGAGAGAAAAGATCTTGATTTGCTATGGAAAGTAGGCAGGAAGTGCTTACTGCAGAGTCTTTAGTCCGCTCAGCATCCATTTCACAGAGATACACAGACAGCCTATTCCCTGGTGACAGTTCTCTGCACTTTCCAATCCCACACAGGATTTCCTTCTGTCTGAAAGTGTAAGAATCGCTCCAGTAAACACTGTGCATATGCCTTCCAGCTGTTGCGCTCATTCTGCCACTGAAGAACAGTGACAAGAAAAGCATTATTTCCTCGTAAAGCCTTTTAATCTCCAAGCAGTGGAATTTTCATAAGCATGAATTTTTATAAAGATGGCCCGATGAAAATTCTCCCAGGATTTTTTTCTCCATCATTAATGGAACTCTGATCACCCCGGAATGGTCCTTTCATTGCCTTTTTCACGCATGGAACTTATTTCATAAATCAAATATTGTTATTGGAACAATATTTGTGGAATATTTCAGGAACCAGAACTTGCAGAGGGCAAGTTCTAGTTCCTGCATGGAATACTTTAGCTGTTAAAAATAAATAAATGGGGGGATCAGTTTTTGTGATTCAAAAAAAAAAAAAAAGATCTGATAACCACGACCTAGTGCAGGTGATAAAGCTTGTCTAGTCATCGGGTTCAAAACTATGAGCAGTCCTTTTTCAAAATAGCAAAACACTGCACCTAAGTGTGTGTTTTGAAGCATTTAAATAGGGATTCATGGAAGAATCATTGGTTACAGCATGCAGATCAGTGCAGAAGCTGAATGAAAAGGCATTTTAGAAAGAAGTACATGAAAGGAGTATTGCTTGAAAATAGATCCGCCCACTGTTGTTCACAGTTTCCACAATGTTCACGCAAGATTCTGCTTGGCCAGCTGTTGGTTAGACATTTGTTTTTTCAGAAGCCCTTTTCAGTTGCTCACCCACTATTGAATGAAAAATAAAAACAGGATTGAAGGACAGGGTAGCTCAGAACAAATAAAAGTTGAAAAAGTTGAAATGTTTTGAGAAGATTTTATTGACCAGTGTCTTGTTTTTAAATTAAAAAGGTAAAGGTTCCCCTCGCACATATGTGCTAGTCATTCCCAACTCTAGGGGGCGGTGCTCATCTCCGTTTCAAAGCCGAAGAGCCAGCACTGTCTGAAGACGTCTCCGTGGTCATGTGGCTGGCATGATTAAATGCCAAAGGCGCACAGAACGCTGTTACCTTCCCACCAAAGGTGGTCCCTATTTTTCTACTTGCATTTTTTACATGCTAGGTTGGCAGAAGTTGGAACAAGTAACAGGAGCTCACCCCATTATGCAGCACTAGGGATTTGAACCGCTGAACTTGCCAATTGACAAGCTCAGTGTCTTAGCCACTGAGCCACCGTGCCCCTATTGTTTTTAATTTACACGCTACCATATGATTGTGTTGATTTCTCCCATCAATTTATGTATGCACAATGTGAAACAGTATCTACTTAATAGGCAGCCTACAGTTAATAATTGGAAGGATTATTGATTATTTCCTATCAACAATCAGGGAGAAGGCTTTGTTCAGTCCCTTTCTCAGAGCATTCTGGGCCTGCTAAATAATCTGGGCATCATTCTTTTTATAAGGAAGGATGTTTTCCCTTTCAAATTTGTAGGGAACATCCATGGTTCTCTCTTCAAACCAATATTTGATTTAATTAGTAATCAAATCTATACAGGTGCCCATCTCACCAAAAGCAACTCTGATGAGTGCAGCATTTATTCCTTCATGTAACTTCCCCTTCTTACCAAGTACCGTACATTTGGTGGTTGTTTAACGCTCTACAATTCTTTGGCAGTTTAGCAATATTTGGATAGCTTAAACAAATAAGGGAAGATGAATCCTTTTGAGTGTGAGTCCAAACCACCTTGGAGTTGATCTGGTGCCATAGCTTAGCAGTGAAAGACCCCACCACTATAGTAAGGCAGTACACCACGGTGATAGTAATAAAAGAAACTACCTGCATATTTACAATATATTACATCTTAATATCAAAGGCATTTGACTTTTCAGCAAAGATGGATAACTTCAGTTTTTCCCATTGCTTATAATTTTGCCAACTGAAAATAAATTTAATCCTTGCAGCACAAAGTTGGTACTATCCACAATGGAGGAATGGCTGGTGAAGATTCGGGCACTTGATGAGATTGTTACATTAACTTTTTTGATCAGAGAAAAGACAATAGTGCAATAGTCTGTCATAGTCCAATTCCACATTCTACATTTATTGTGGACTGGAAGAACTTTTTGTGTGAAACAGAAAAAAAGAAAGAATTTATCATTTATGTTTTTGATGATTAGACTATAGAAAAAGGGGAGTTACGTTGCAACCATAGAGCAAGAACTAAATTTATAATTGTACTTATAACTAGTATAAAGAAAATCAGAAACTATTTTTAGTATGTTTTTTCTTTCATTTCTGTTTGTTTCTTCTTTAGTTTACTTTAGCTCTCTTTTTTAGTTATCTTTTTTACTTTTCTCACTTTATATTAGTTTCTATTAGTTGTTATCTTCTTTTTAAAAATAAGAAATTATATTTAAAATGTTTTATTTCATTAAAAGTACAAAATGTAAGATATACCATTTATACATCAAGAAGTTCAAAATAAAAGGAAGCATTAATTATAAGAATTCATTGAATCCCATTTTTGTAGTATTTGAGACTTTGTTTATTTGTTTTTCTTATTAAAAACATTTTGGTACACTTTTGTCCAGTTTAAAGCCTTTTTTTTGCATGTTTTAGCCTATTTGCATTTTATAAATACAATTGAGAACTCTTATCATATTTTTGCATTTTTAAAAGAGAACTGTGTTTCGGTTAACATATTGTTTAAAAATGCAAAATTAGATGTGTTTGTATTGAAACATAAACTGAGAAATATTTGAATATTTTTAGTTCTTACAGGAAACAAGCAGAAAAGTCCTCTTGCACACATAGACTGTTTTTGACTTTTTCAAGTCAAGGCATTTAAATGTCCCCTGTGGCTACTCTGATCCAGCTTGATTCTTATATAGGTGAAGAGATAGAAAATTAAACATCTACATTTCCATAAAGCACATGCCAAAAAAAAAGAAAAAAGAAAAAAAGCCAACGGAACCATTTGTTTGCTTCTCTGAACTACAATACTATATTGCACTGGATTGTCTGGAACAATGTTTTGCTTTTTCTGGTCAGTTCTGGTCCTAGAACTAAGGGGAACAATATTAGTAAGGGGCAAGTGGATCCAATCCAGAGGTAAGCATTTGCAAATGTTACTTTTCAGTGTCAGCTCGGGGTTTTTGGGAGGGGGGTGTTTAAAAAGATTCACTCCTGGGTTTTCCAATCCATCTCTGAAAGGATTCAGATGGATTAGCAAACAAGTGTATATGCCGTAATAAATAGTCCTCTGGGAGGGACCTAAATAGTGTAATTAAGTGGAAAACATATTAAAATTCAGTCTTTTAAAGGTTTTAAAAAGTGTATTAAAGAGACACTTTTAAGGGTAGAAGGAACGATGGTGCTTCAATGTGAACAAACAAAAGGCTAAAGACAATGAATGACCCCAAAGTTACCTCCTAGAGTACTACTGATACAGAAAAAGGAATGTTATGGTTCAGAGACAAAAATTAGTACACTTTGGAGAGGGGCTGATCTCATTCAATTGGAAAGAAGGAAGGTGTAGATAATCTAGGATAATTTATTATGAAAAACTTGTGGGTTGTTTACTCTTGCCTTTGTTGTCTGATAGTCCTATGTGAACATATATGCGGCCTCTCTTTCATTGTATGATTATCTGTTCTGCAGCTGACTGTTCTAAAATTATAATGGCACCGAAAACAGTGACTTATGACCATTTTTCACACTTATAACCATTGCAGCACCCCCATGATCATGTGATTTACATTCGGATACTTGACCACTGGTTCATATTTGTGATGGTCGCAGTATCCCAGGGTCAGTTAATCATCTTTTGCAACCTTCTGACAAGCATAGTCAACGGGAAAGCCAGATTCACTTAACATCCGTGTTACTAATTTAACAATTGCAATGATTCACTTAGCACATGGGCTAAGAAAAGTTGTAAAATGGGGCAAAACTCACTTAACAAATTTCTCACTTAGTAATATAAATTCTGGCTCAATTGTGGTTGTAAATGAAGGATTACCCATATCATAGAATAAAGTGGGGGAAGGGAGCAAGCAGTCATTTTGCAACAGGTAAGATAAATTTTAAAAATATATACTAAAATAAAATACAAGAAATTCCAAAACATTTTTAAAATGCATACAAGTAGAGGGTTTTTTTTTTCATGAGCAGAAAAAAAAATCTAGTGGGTCAAATTTAACAGAATAACAGATTTGCTATAATGTTAAGTAAAATAAAGCCCTCCAAAGAAAGAAAGACAGTGAAGGATTATTTTTAGCACATGGAAACATTTTGCAGAAATATATTCTGGCAATGCAGTATTTAGTACAAAACAGTAAAAGAAAACTCAAAGAATCATTGTTTTTAGAGTTATTCCTTCTCATAAGCCATTCTCATAAGAAAACAACTTCATTTCATGCCCCTTTCTCAATACCAAGGAAAATATTTTAGTAGCAGTTACCAAATATTTTACTGAAGTGGTTCAGCATTCTGGTGGTATCTTAAGTTTTCTTGATCCTGAAGATCATTCCTGAATTCCCAGTTCTAGTGGTTAAGAAGGAAACAAAGACCACAATGGCATCAGTTAGCAAACATCTTCATCGACAATGGGCTAACTGAAACCGAGGCACATAAACTTTCCAAAAATAGAAGACTGTTGCCAAACAGTGACAGATTTACTGGTCTCCAAAAGGATCACAATCCCTTCTTGCCCTAGGAAGAAGAAAACATATTCCAAATTTCCAGAGGAGGGCCCTTGGCAGTAACAAACAAACAAATAAAAATCTAAAAAAATCTTAAGGTTCAATTATATTTTATGCTCATGGTGAATAAATTGGATTTCCCCTCTGGAAAGCTATTTTGGTTGGGAGTTGTAAAAGATCTAGTCCTACATTCTGAGGGTTATGAAAGTCTGTTCCCAACCTCAGGTCAGAGTTCCCTACTGATATAATTCACTCTCTTTTTACTACCATGTATACCACACAAGCTTATTTTAATCTTTTCACACATCAAGAGTAGATAAGATGTCAAAGAAGCAAATAAGAGTGTTAAAAGAAATTCAATTAAAGGGTTTAAAAACTTTAAAACTACTTTTAAAATTATCAAAAGCTGTGGAAGGGAATTTTGCTTCCCTTAAAGAAAACACACATATCAGCCTGTGGAGGCATTTTAATTATGGAAACCTGACCCAAATGGAGCATTTGCAATGGCTGACGCTGAAGCTCAGGCTTTGTCAGCATTAATGCACAGTGAATTTACCAGTCTGTCTGTTTTCCTTAATATTGTTTCTGAATTCCATTTCAACAAGGCACTTCAGACAGCCCATTTCAAAGGGATTATCATTGCACTTACTGTGTGATTAAAGCCACTCTGCCTCTGCTTTGTGCCTATAATGCCACCTTAGGCATGCAGCAATAATCCAGAAATCGCTGGCTGTCATGTCTTATTCCTTAATTATATTGTCACGGCACCACCCTTATGAAGAGTCATTTGCAGAGGTTCCAAAAGAAGCTCGGGAGGAAATGGTCCTCTATTCTTTTCAAAATCTCTCTGTCTCGCTCTCTTTTCCTTTTCAAAACATGAGCATTCTTGAAGAAACAAACTATGTAGCCACAGGTTCCAAAAAGTCCCAAGCCTCAGGTTGATATTATCTATCTCCCAGATGGATGACAATTTGGTTTTGGCAGGACTCCACTCTTTTAAGTCTCAGCCTTACTGCTTATCGCAATTATATCTCCATTACAGTACTCACCCACAGTTGGCAAGCTAACTTTCTGTGTGCATAAATATAAAGTCTATTTAAAATCAATTCATTTTTAATGTGTTTTTTTTAAACCCTAAGCCTTCAAAATAAAGAGAGCGGATCCTTTACAAGAGGGACTTACCACTCTGCAATATTTTTTAGCTATTACACTAATAACCATTGCCAAAGCTGTAAAATAGAAAAGTGTTGGATTTCGCCAATGATGCCTCCAGAATACCCTTGCAATGAAACCACCAGTGTGTACAAAGATAATTAGGATCATGTCACAGTACCCAAAGAGCAGATATAATGTGCATCCAGCATGCTGGAGAGAAAGTTAATTAGAGAAAGAGAGCAAAGGACTCTCCAGCATTAGCGAACTAAAACAAAGGATTTGTCAGATGTAAATGCCTTATTCTCCAATGTGTAAATAATGTATATATGGAACATCAGAGGTTAACTTATTCTTTGGACTTTAATGTATTCATAACTTACCACTCCCATTCCTAGCTCCACCCCTTGTATATATAAGGAGCCACCCTCACCATTCTCGTCGCTTCTACCTTGAATATTCAGTGAATATAGAATGCCTATCATAATTAAAAAGAAATATATTTAAAGCTCTAACTCCTATTATCTTTATTGAGTCTGATCCTGAAAATATTGCAACAGGATTTCTGTAGCCATGAACTTGAAATCTCTTATCTGGCAATTCAGATGTCTTCTCATCTTCTCTTTTTGCAAAGACAGAGTAAGTTTAAGACAAGGTAGGGAGGAGCACCATTGATATCACTATAACCAATTCCTTCCACACGTTGGATGCTTGAACATCAAAACCATAAAAACAGTTAAACTTTTTTTCTTCCCTGAAGAACTCAAATGTGATCATGTTCAGACTAACCATCACAATAAGGACATGTCCATGGCTGCACAAGGGATATGACCTTTTTACTAGTTAATGGGCCCACTTACCTACAGAATATAGCAGGATGAATCCTGATAACTCATGACTTCAGACTGAAAAAGAACAAAATCCAGAGATAGTGGGACTAACAATTTGCTCTCTTGAGAGAGAACATTCTTAATTGAGAAATAGGCCAAGATCCATATTCAGCTTCAAATCTTATACCAAAACTTGCACAGAAGAGGCATTCAGACTTTCAATTGCTCTCTCATCTATTTAAAAATAAATATGGGAGGGAACAGGATAAGATGGTAGTACGAGCACCTAGCTTTCCCCTTTTATAATAAAAATGTGAAGGAGGAGCAGGTACATATCTGTCCCTCTTACTATTTATTGCACTTTTTTTTCTCCAAGTAGAAATTTCTAACACAGACATGAGTTAATCCAATCCTAGATGTTTATACACTTGGAGAGAATTTTGGAAAAGAGGAATGAACTGTAACTTTAGAAGAAGTCATGGAGAAGTCTAAGAATAGAGGAATGAAGGATATTTAAGAGTCATGCCATGAGATATAAGATTTCAGAAGAGAGGCCTCCCTTTGCTGACTAGAATGGAGTTCTTTGTCCTTGTATTCCATTTTGAAACAGTAGTGTTAAAGTTCCAGGAACATCACTCAGGGGCAGGAAAGAAGGGTGGCCTAAAAATAAAATAAAACTAATAAATCATGGTCTGTGTCTTTCATAGACTATCCATATAACTTGGGGAGAAATAACCAAGGACTTTTGCATAGAACCACCCCAATGGAGCAAACGTTTCCCATACTATGCCCTTATAGGCTATATTCATAGCAACAGTATACCATTGAAATGAGCCAACCATCTGTAAAATTCCAACACTTGTTTAGCCTGAACTATGAATTTGCCAAATAGGAGGTGTTAGATTACATTCTTCTCAGTCTCAATTAAATAGTATAACACAACTATGGTTAGCAGCTTTCTTTTCTTGAAGACTATACTTTATCTGAAGAGGAAGTAGAGTTCTAATTATTCACACAAGACAAATGATTTTTAAATTACATCCTAAAAGGCTAGTAGATCGTTACTCATTTGAAAGTATGACAAAAAGTAATTCATTGTACTCTTTATGCTTACATAAATAGAAAAGACTACCTTTTCTGTGGCTTACATCAGAAATGGGATTTTTTAAAAAAAAAAATCTGAAAGTGTAAGTTCCATTGATAAAAGTATGCTTTTAAAAATACTTTTAAAAAGTATTTTAAAGGATGCATATATTTTAATCTTCAATTGTAGCAACTGCAATTTCAAAGAATTAAAAAAAAATACTTTAAAAAAATTTCCACTACTCATTGCTAGGATACTTCCAGTTATTAAATCTTTTAAATTAATTAGTACAAGAGTTTCAGCACAATTTAGAGACCTAACTGGATGTTCAATGATTTTGTGTCTGCTTTAAATGTATTTCAGATGGATGATTTATGCATTTTTCCCAAAAGTGGGAAGGCAAAAAAGCATGAATTTGCTCCAAATGATTTGTTATTAGACTTGTGCAATATATCCATACCTTTTCATTTCAAAACACCTCCTTCTGTCTGTCTGTCTGTATGTTTATTTCTGCTGACAGGTTTCCTATGAACAATGGGATTATTTGAACAATGTCAGGCTATTAAAGCAATAGGTGATAGGTTGTAGGTGATCTCGTTTCAATAATCTGAAATAAAAGCAGTAGCTTCTGCATGACATGTTCTGTAAAAATCACAGTGAATCTAATAATTAAATTTTCATGACATGATAGCATCTCTGGCTAGAACTAACTCAATCTTAGTTTTTTATGTTGCACCTGAGCATTTAGAATCAGGGTGTAAACGAGAAAACCTTGTAGAAATACAGAGACAGAGCAGTCAGCTATATCTTTCTATATTTTAGAATGCATCTATCAGTATTCTAGTTTATTTTAAAAATAATTTCTTGTTAAGGTTCATCCATATGCAAGTAAAACTGATAAGTGTTCTGAAATCATACATGTTTCGGACAAAGATTCGAGTATTTATATCACGGATGCTGCCTATGTATAATAAAAATATTATCTAGAGACACTATTAGACTGGGGAAATAAATAATAAATACTATATAAATACTTTTAAATGATGGCTGCTCAGTCAGCAATGTACTCTACATGGGGCTACCCTTGAAGACCACTTAGAACAGTGATGGTTAACCTTTTTGTCATTGCGTGCCAAAAGTGGGGGGAGTGCAGGGGGTCGTGCACATGCCCACACCCATAATTCAATGCTCCGGGGGGGTCCTGTCCCCCTGCGCATGCGCACACGACCTCCCTGCACTCTCCTCATTCTTGGCACACAATGGCAAAAAGGTTACTGGTGGACCCAGTAGGCCCGTTCCAGAGGCTTTCTTGGTGCCTGGGGGTGGGGTGGTGAAAATGGCCTTCCCCACCCCATCGGAGGCCGTCTGGAGGCTGGAAATGGCCCATGTCCCGACTTCCGGTGGGCCTGGAAGGCCTGAAAATCATTTATTTTATTTTATTTTTTATTTTATATTGGATTTCTATACCGCCCTTCTCCCTAAGGACTCAGGGCGGTGTACAGCCAGATTAAAAAACATGCAGAACAAATATTAAAAACAATTAAAAGATATATAAATTTGGCCCAATTAAAACTCATTTACCAATTAAAAACGTTTAAAACATTTAAAAACAGTTAAAAATTTCATCTTAAGCCAGCCCGGCTTGTTTAAATAAATGGGTTTTAAGGGCGCGACGGAAGGCACTGAGGTCTTGGATTCTCCTTATCTCTGGGGGGAGCTGATTCCAGAGGGTAGGTGCCCCCACAGAGAAGGCCCTCCCCCTGGGGGTCACCAGCCTGCATTGTTTGGCTGATGGCACCCCGAGGAGGCCCTCTCTGTGGGAGCGCACGGGTCGCTGGGAGGTCGTCGGTAGCAGCAGGCGGTCTCGCAGATAGCTAGGCCCTATGCCATGGAGCGCTTTAAAGGTGATAACCAACACCTTGAAGCGCACCCGGAAGACAACTGGGAGCCAGTGCAGCTCGCGCAGGAGCGGTGTTACATGGGAGCGCCATGCTGCTCCCGTCACTACCCGCGCTGCTGCGTTCTGGACCAGCTGGAGCCTCCGGGTGCTCCTCAAGGGGAGCCCCATGTAGAGAGCGTTGCAGTAGTCAAGGCGAGAGGTGACGAGGGCATGAGTGACTGTGCACAGGGAATCCCGATCAAGAAAGGGCCGCAACTGGCGAATCAGGCGAACCTGACAAAAGGTCCCCCTGGTTACAGCCGTCAGATGTTCCTCCAAGGACAGCTGCATATCCAGGAGGACTCCCAGATTGCGAGCCCTCTCTGTGGGGGCCAATGACTCGCCCCCAATAGTCAGTGATGGAGTCAACTGACTATATCGGGATGCCGGGAGCCACAGCCACTCAGTCTTGGAAGGGTTGAGCTTGAGCCTGTTCCTCCCCATCCAGACCCGTACAGCCTCCAGGCACTGGGACATCACTTCAAGGGCATCGTTGGGGTGGCCTGGGGTGGAGATGTACAGCTGGGTGTCATCAGCGTACTGGTGGTATCTCACCCCAAAGCCACGGATGATCTCACCCAGCGGCTTCACATAAATGTTGAACAGAAGGGGCGAGAGGACCGATCCCTGCGGCACTCCACAAATGAGAGGCCTCGAGGTCGACCTCTGCCCCCCTGCCAACACAAACTGCGACCGGTCGGAGAGAAAGGAGGAGAACCACCGCAACACGGTGCCTCCCACCCCCAACTCTTCCAGCCGGTGCAGCATGATACCATGGTCGATGGTATCAAAAGCCGCTGAGAGGTCTAACAGGACCAGAACAGAGGAACAACCCCTGTCCCGAGCCCTCCAGAGATCATCAACCAACGCGACCAATGCCGTTTCTGTGCTGTGCCCAGACCTGAAACCCGACTGGAACGGATCTAGATAAGATGTTTCCTCCAGGAATTGCGGAAACTGTCGTGCGACCACACTCTCAACAACCTTCGCCATAAAGCGAAGGTTGGAGACAGGACGATAGTTGGCCAATATTGCCGGATCCAGGGACGGCTTCTTGAGGAGAGGCCTCACCACCGCCTCTTTCAAGGCGGTGGGGAAGTAACCCTCACTCAACGAAGCGTTGATAACACCCTGGAGCCAGCCTCGTGTAACCTCCCGGGAAGCCAGTACCAACCAGGAGGGACACGGGTCCAGTAAACATGTGGCCGCACTAAGTCTCCCCAAAATCCTGTCCACATCATCAGGAGTCACAGCATCAAACTCCTCCCAGATAACATTCTCAAGACTATTCCTCGTCACCCTGCCCTGATCTACCCAGTCAGAGTCCAAATCCCCCCGGATCTGGGCGATTTTGTCATACAGGTATTGTCCGAAATCCTCCGCCCTGCCTTCTAAGGGATCCTCCCGCACTCCTGGATGGAGCAGGGCGCGGGTCACCCTAAACAGGGCAGCCGGACGATTCCCTGATGACGCAATAGAGGCGGAAAAGTAGTTAGACTTTGCCGTCTCTATCGCCACTAGGTAGGCCTTAATATGCGACCTTACCAGTGTTCGATCAGATTCAGCGAGACTGGCCCTCCAACCGCTCTCCAGGCGTCTTTTCCGGCGCTTCATTTCCCTCAGCTCCTCAGTAAACCAAGGAGCCGCACGGGATCGGCATTGGGTCAGAGGCCGCAAAGGCACAACTCGGTCCAAGGCCCCACCAGCCGCCCGATCCCAGGCGGCTACCAGGTCCTCGGCCGAGTCATGTGCTAGATCCTCAGGAAATGGCCCAAGCTCCGTCTGGAACCTATCAGGATCCATCAGGCGCCTGGGGCGGATCCATCTAATTGGATCCACCTCCCTGCGGCGAGGGGTCGCGGTTCGAAGATCTAGGCGAAGGAGTGAGTGGTCAGACCATGACAAGGGTTCCATGTCTATATCCCCTATAACAAGACCACTCAACCACTGGCCAGAGACAAAAATCAGATCCAGAGTGTGACCTCCCCTGTGAGTAGGGCCATGAACTAACTGGGTCAGGTCCATGGCCGTCATGGAAGCCATGAACTCCCGAGCCACCTCAGACGTTTCACCGACGGATGGCAAGTTGAAATCACCCATGACTAAAAGCCTGGGTGTATCTACTGCCACCGTGGCTATCACGTCGAGTAGCTCAGGTAGGGCTGTTGCCACGCGGCAGGGAGCCAGGTACGTAAGCAACAAGCCCATCTGGCTGGCACGCGCATGCATGCTGGAGCTAAGCTAGGGCAACACTTGCATGCCCACAGATATGGCTCCATGTATCACCTGTGGCACGCGTGCCATAGGCTCACCATCATGGACCTAAAACCTTCAGCTGGTCCAGAATGCTGCTGTCAGCGCCACTGCGCCGTGCCTCGCCGTGCCTCGCGGCTCGGGGCTGTCATTCAGGCAAGACCGGAGAGCTGACCTGGTGACGCTCAGAAGTATGTCTGGTCGCCCAGCCTAGGCGTCAGGAGACTGCCGCCGCCGCTGTGATCGCCACTGAAGCCTGTGCCACCGCTGCACAGCTGAGAGGCGAGCCCTGGAACCAGCTGACATTCAGGGCCTTGTCTCCGCAGAGCCAAGCCAAGCCAAGCGTCAGCTGGTCTGATGAGCCGAGGGGACAGGCGGAGTTATAGCATGCTAGGTTTGGTGTAGGTTGGCTTGCTTGGTCAGATGTTGGTTAACTGTAGAAGAAACACGAGATGGGGGCGGGCCGAAGGGGTGGAGTCATGGGTGGAGCGTGGGAGCCTTTAAAACGGTGATGGGAGCACTGCGCGAAAGCGCTGACAATATCTCACTTGGTGATTGTTGGAATGAGCCGGAGGGCCTGATAAAGTTCTCTACACCTAGGAACCTGATTGTCTGGAGTCTTATTTCAAAGCGCCATTCCGGAACCTGACAGCTGCAGTATGAGCGATGATGGCCATTCCATGGTATGCCCACATGAAACACCCAAGCTGCACTGGTTGCCAGTTTGCTTCCTGGTAGATTCCTGGTAGATTCAAGGCACCTATAAAACCCTATATGGCATAAGGGCTGGTTGCTTGAAGAACCAGGATCAAGTACAGATCACAGTTCTTCTGTAATTACAACTGTTATACAATAGGCAAACTTGATTGGGTTGTTCAGTAGACATTATTTTAATCATTGCAAGTGTCTTATTCATATCCTTCTTTACAGATGCCAGGTCTTTCTTAGGCACTACTTTCAATGCTGGCAGTTTTTGTCTTTCTACTGGTAATTTTATGTATGCCATAATTTTCTCTTTAAATTTTTCTTGTTTTTGTTGGAGTGGGGGTCAATTTATAAGTTGATTCAGTGCTGGCCTATACTAGTTCTTATGTTATTACTTCTAAGTTATCATTTCTCTACTTCATATTAACTGTTTTCTTTAAATTTTTAATTGTTAATGAATATTAAAATATTCATTTTAATATTCTACTATTGTTTTGGGGTCTTCCGTTTTCACAATTTTTCTGAATCTTTTCCAGTTCTTCATCCCTCAATATTTTATTTCTGGTAATGAATCTCCTTTGATCTGATAATTCTTGTTCAGGGATATTTGAGTCTGGATAA